ACTCTGCTAGGCTGCAGTGCAGTGGCACGATCTCGGCTCACTGCAAGCTCTGCCTCCCGGGCTCACGCCATTCTCCTGCCTCAGCCTCCCGAGTAGCTGAGACTACTGGCACCCACCACCACGCCCGGCTAATTTTTTTTTTGTATATTTAGTAGAGATGGGGTTTCACTGTATTAGCCAGGATGGTCTCGATCTCCTGACCTCATGATCCACCCACCTCAGTCTCCCAAAGTGCTGGGATTACAGGCGTGAGCCACTGCGACCAGCCAGGATTAAATTCTTGAATAATCCTCTGAATTATTAATTTATTCCTAATGGATCATTCTGATCATATAAACATAATCTAGTATCTCCCTTCCTAAAAAAACAAAAAATCCTCTCTTGAGCCTACCTATCCCTAACAGATACTGCCAATTTTTTCAGCAATCAAAGTAAAACATCTGGAAAAAAGTTTTCTAAATCCACTTGGTCACATTTCTGTCCCCATCTTACTCTATGTGATAGCAGCATTCCACATATTTGGTCACTTAATCATCATCTTCCTTTGGAAACCTTCTTTCCTTCTGCCTTCCTTTCTACTTCACTGGCTCCTCCTTCTCAGGCTCTTAACTGGCTACTTCTCCTCTGGTGAATCTAAATATTCGGTAGCTTTTATCAATACTATCTTGCTAACAATTAAAAAATGAAATAAATTAGAGTAGCACTTACAATAGCACCAACAATATTAAACACCTAGGAATAAGTTTAATTTTAAAAAGGAGGTTGGGTATGGTGGCTCACACCTGTAATTCCAAAACTTTGGAAGGTCAAAGTGGGAAGATGCTTGAGCCCAGGAGTTTGAGGCTGCAGTAAGCCATGACTGTACGTACCACTACACTCCAGCCTGGGTGACTGAGCAAAACCCTGTCTCAAAAATTAAAATAAAATAAATAAAAAAAGGAAAAATATCTCTACACTGAAAACTACAAGACATTGGTGGAATAAATTCAAATTAATGGAAGGTTATACCATATTCATGGATTGAAAGACACAGTATTATTAAAACGTTAAATCTTCCTAAATTGATCTACAGATTACATGAATCCCAAATTCTAGCATGTTTATGTGTTTGTGAGAAAGAGAAAATGGGTAAGCTGATTATCAAATTTATATAGAAATGCCAAAAACTTAATAGAGAACACTACAATCTTGAAGATAGGCAAAACTTGAGAATTTAAATTACCAGATGCCAAAAATTATTATAAGGCTATCATAATTAAGACAGTGTGTTGCCTGGGTGTAGTGGCTCATGTCTGTAATCTCAGCACTTTGGGAGGCCAAGGCAGGTGGATCACCTGAGGTCAGGAGTTTGAGACCAGCCTGGCCAGCATGGTGAAATCCCATCTCTACTAAAAATACAAAAATTAGCTGGGTGTGGTGGTGGGTGCCTATAATCCCAGCTACTTGGGAGGCTGAGGCAGAACTGCTTGAACCTGGGAGGCGGAGGTTGCAGAGAGCTGAGATCTCATGATTGCACTCCAGCCTGGGTGACAAGAGTGAAACTCTGTCTCGAAAAAAAAAAAGACAGTGTGACAGTGTGCTACTGATACAAGGATAGACAAAGAAATCAACAGAACAAAAAGGACAATTCAGAAACATATAGTAAACGTACCACTGCAATTCAGTGGGGGAAAGGATGGTCTTTTTAACATATGGTATTGTGTCAACTAGATATCTATTCG